GTAGCAGTAGCAGTAGTAGTAGTAGCAGTAGCAGTAGCAGTAGCAGTAGCAGTAGCAGTAGCAGTAGCAGTAGCAGTAGCACCAGTAGTAACATGCAGGCGCTGCAAGGCGTGTCTGTATCCGTGTTTTCATCGCTCTGCATTATCTCCCTACTGCGTTGGTCTGTCCTGGGAACACGAAGAACACGAAATGGGCTACAGTTGGCGCCTCGCATTCAAAACATAACCCGGGAATCTCAGCCTGCCTCAGCGTGTGCAGCCTTAGTCTGCCTTCAGCCTCGGCCTCAGCCTCAGCCTGCCTCGGCCTCAGCTTGAGCCAGCCTCAGCCTCAGCCTCAGCCTCAGCCTCAGCCTGCCTCAGCATCAGCCTGCCTCAGCGTCTGCCTCGGCTTGCCTCAGCCTCAGCCTCAACCTCAGCCTCAACCTCAGCCTGCCTCAGCCTCAGCCTGCGTCAGCCTCGGCCTCAGCCTCAGCCTGCATCAGCCTCAGCCTGCATCAGCCTCAGCCTCAGCCTCAACCTCAGCCTCAGCCTCAGCTTAAGCCTGCCTCAGCCTCAGCCTCAGCCTGCCTCAGCCTCAGCCTCAGCCTCAGCCTCAGCGGTGGATTCCCCATAGTCACTGGCGGCGCTGGGGGCCTCAGCATCAGCCTCAGTGGTGGATTCCCCCTAGTCACTGGCGGCGCTGGGGGCCTCAGCCTCAGCCTCAGTGGTGCGTTCCCCATAGTCACTGGCGGCGCAGGGGGCCTCAGCCTCAGCCTCAGTGGTGCGTTCCCCACAATCACTGGCGGCGCTGGGGGCCTCAGCCTCAGCCTCAGTGGTGCGTTCCCCATAGTCACTGGCGGATCCGCGGATTCTCCCCGGATCCTGCCCGGACCCCCCTGGGGAGTCATGATGCTTTCTTTTGAGACCATTAGAAACCTATCAGTCTTCGCTGTTGCGTAAAAATAGTCCGGGGACGATTTTACCTAATAGCGAAGACTTGTAGGTTTCTAGCGGGCTCAAAAGAGAGCATCTTGACTCCCTGGGAACCCGAGGACTTCCCATTTTGACCGCCAGGAGCCACACTTTGATTGCCCAGAGCCAACAGAACACCATTCCCAGGCCACATTTTGACACCCGGAGCCAACTGTAGGCCACTTCGTGTTCTTCGTTTTCCCAGAACACCATTCCCAGGCCACATTTTGAATGCCCAGAGCCAACTGTAGGCCACGTCGTGTTCTTCGTCTTCCCAGAACACTCCCAGGCCACATTTTGAATGCCCGGAGCCAACTGTAGGCCACTTCGTGTTCTTCGTGTTCCCAGAACACCCTTCCCAGGCCACATTTTGGATGCCCGGGGCCAACTGTAGGCCACTTCGTGTTCTTCGTGTTCCCAGAACACCATTCCCAGGCCACATTTTGACTGCCCGGAGCCAACTTTGGGCCACTTCGTGATCTTCGTGTTCCCAGAACGCCAGTCCTGTGCCATAGTTTGAATGCCCGAGCTGAGGCAGGCTGAGGCCGAGGCAGGCTGAGGCCGAGGCAGGCTGAGGCTGAGGCTGAGGCACGCCGAGGCAGGCTGAGGCTGAAGCAGGCTGAGGCAGGCTGAGGCTGAGGCTGACGCAGGCTGAGGCCGAGGCAGGCTGAGGCTGAGTCTGAGGCAGGCTGAGGCTGAGGCAGGCTGAGACTGAGGCTGAGGCAGGCTGCGGCAGGCTGAGACTGAGGCTGAGGCTGATGCAGGCTGAGGCTGAGAGGCTGACGCTGAGGCTGAGGCAGGCTGAGGCTCAGGCAAGCCGAGGCAGGCTGAGCCTGAGGCTCAAGTTGAGGCAGGCTGAGGCTGTGGCTGAGGCTGAGGCAAGCTGCGGCTGAGGCAGGCTGAGGCTGAGGCTGATGCAGGCTGAGGCTGAGGCAGGCTGAGGCTGAGGCTGAGGCTGAGGCAGGCTGAGGCTGAGGCTGAGGCCGCAGGCTGAGGCTGAGGCCGAGGCAAGCTGAGGCTGAGGCTGAGGCTGATGGCTGGCTGAGGCTGAGGCTGAGGCAGGCTGAGGCTGAGACAGGCTGAGGCTGAGGCTGAGGCAGGCTGAGGCTGAGGCAGGCTGAGGCTGAGGCCGAGGCAGGCTCAGGCCGAGACAGGCTGAGGCTGAGACTGAGGCTGAGGCTGAGGATGAGGCCGAGGCAGGCCGAAGCTGAGACAAGGTGAGGCTGAATGGGGAGGGGGGAAGGGGGGGGGGAGGAGGGGAGGCTGAGGCAGGCTGAGGCCGAGGCAGGCTGAGGCCGAGGCAGGCTGAGGCTGAGGCTGAGGCTGAGGCTGAGGCTGAGGCTGAGGCAAGCCGAGGCAGACTGAGGCTGAGGCTGAGGCTGAGACTGAGACTGAGGCTGAGGCAGGCTGAGGCCGAGGCAGGCTGAGGCTGAGGCTGAGGCAGGCTGATGCTGAGGCCGAGGCAGGCTGAGGCTGAGGCTGAGGCAAGCCGAGGCAGGCTGAGGCTGAGGCTGAAACTGAGGCAGGCTGAGGCATCCGTAGGAACCCATAGGAGTCCTTAGGAATCCCTAGGAATCCTTAGGAATCCGTAGGCATCCTTAGGAATCCGTATGCATAGTTAAGCATCCTCAGGAATCCTTAGGAATCCTTAGGATTCCTCAGGAATCCTTAGGATTCCCTAAGAATCCCTAGGACTCAGGATTCCTAAGGATTCCTAAGGATTCCATTGGATTCCTAAGGATGCCTAAGGATGCCTTAGGAATCCCTAGGAATCCTTAGGATTCCATTGGATCCTAAGGCCGTTGCCACTGCGACTGTCATTGCGAATGCGACTGCGACTGCGAGAACAGCAGAATTCTACAACTGGATTCTCACCTGAATCTTAAGGGGAATGCTTCCAGATATGCTTATACACATCGCTGTTAGGTTGCTTTGCCGGGATAATTCTACTATGTTTGATCATTTGGGGGATATGTTTTGAGTATTTTTAACTTTTCGCCCAACATCCTCCTGTAGGGGGACATGCCCGATTTAAGGGTAGGGGGAAGGGGGAGGCCTTCTCAGACCCAGACATGATCGCGTCGTTAAAACATCAGGACGGGGGCGTTTTGGCAGTTTTCGGCCTCGGGGGGCCCTCGCCGGGCCTCGGGACCGTCAGAAAACAGTTCAGGAGGAAACACCGGTCCCGGGGAAAGAGTCCGGACTTCCAGGAACGCCGTCTAGAAAAAACAGGACGTCGCATGTCTGGGGACGCACCCCTGCCTCCTATAGAAGGCGCGGGCCTCCTCTCCGGCTGCAGTGCCGGCGCCTCCCGAGAAGCAGCCTCCTGCTGCGCAGCCTTCCCCCCTCCGCCTACGCCCCCCCCCCCCCGGCGGAGGAGCAGGAGGAGGAGGAGGAGCAGGAGGAGGAGGAGGAGGCGGAGGAGCAGGAGGAGGAGGAGGAGGAGGAGCAGGAGGAGGAGGAGGAGCAGGAGGAGGAGGAGGAAATGCAGGAGGAGGAGCAGGAGGAGCAGGAGGAGGAGCTGCAGGAGGAGGAGGAGGAGGAGGAGGAGGAGGAGGAGCCCAGGACATGACGCACCCCAAGCCCGCGGCGCGCCCCTCCGCCTGGGAGGTCGCCCTCTGGGCCCCGCGGCTCTGCCGCGAGGTGCGGCGCCAGCGCCCCGCGCCCGGCGCCTGGCGCCTCGGCGTGCCCGCCGCCGGGGCGCTGCCCCCCGCGCCGGCCGCGGGGCGGATGCTGCCCAGACCCACACCTCAGTATCGTTTAACCGACCCCCCTCCTCCTTCTCCTCCTCCTCCTCCTGCTCCTCCTCCTCCTCCTCCTCCTCCTCGTCATCATCATCCTCATCATCATCATCATCATCATCATCATCATCATCATCATCATCATCATCATCATCATCATCATCATCATCATCATCATCATCATCATCATCCCCTTCGAGACCCCCGCCAAATTACCCCCAGTTGGGGATACACCCCTCGAAGCCCGAAGGGTGCGCCCTATACCCGATCTGGAGGGTAAATCGGCCAGTAGGGCCCAGGCCACGCTCCTGGGGATGGGGATCGGTTAAACGATACCCAATGATCAAGCAGTGGCGAAGCGTTCTGGATTGCCGATAGTCCCACCAAAGAATGTTCTGAGAACCTATTGTGGGTCACACGAAACGTTCTCAGAACACTTCTGGCTTAGACTGTCTTGTTTGAGCATATCGGCTGTTTTGTTCTTAGAACATTGTTGGGTTCTAAGAACTCTTCGTTGTAGGCCTATAGGAATGCCGGGACGGTCGGTCCCTGCTCAACATGAAGAGATCATGACGGGAGGTCTTTCCGTATGTTCGGCCTCTCAGGGCCCGCACCGGGCCTCCGGGCCATTAAAAAAAATTACTCAGGATGGAAAACCGGTCCAGGGGAATGGGTCGAGACCTCGGGGGGTCGACGATATGAATAAATCATGACGCCGGGGGTCTGGGGAGGGAAAGACAGCCAGAGACACAAAGAGGCGTCGGTTCCCAAGGAATCACATGGAAGGTGCACACTGGAGGCCCATGCCAAGAGACACCCTGCTTGCCTCCAGGGTGCCCTGGGTTTCTTGGGTTTCGATGGTTTCGCTGTGGAAAGCGTGACGTTCCCACACCAAAAATTCATGGACGTCCTGGGGTCTCAAGGTTGGGTTTCTTGTGGAAGGCTTCTTGTGGACTGGCCTCCACTGTGTGGGAGGCGGAGGGAGAAGAACGGGCATCCAGAAGATGTGGAGAGACGTATGTGGAGTCCTGGAATTTGTGTGTGTGTGTGTGCACTCGTTTGTGTGTCCCTCTGGGCCTCTTCACAGAGCAGGCAGCTGGCCTCGGGCGTTGCGTAATGGGCGGGAGGGCGATGCATGCCCAGACCCCCCGCGGGTCGTGGAAAAATCATGACGGGATGCTTTTCGTGATTTTTGGCCTCTGGGGGCCCTCGCCGGGCCCCCGGGACCGTCAGCAGGCGACGCAGGAGGAAAAACCCGTCCCAGTGGAGGGGTCGGGACCTCTTGGGGGGACGACGTGATGAGATCATGGGGGGGCGCCCGAGGGCGGCCCTGAAGGGGCCCCACACACCTCTTGGGCCCAAGAAGGGCACACGCGTCTCCCCCCCCCCCCCCCCGTTTTTTATCAGGGAGGAAAAACCACGCAAACACAACCAATCGTCGATTCCCAGAAGATATGGGAAAATATGGGAAGTGAGGGGGAAGACAAAATCCCTGATAATATGGGAAAATATGGGGGATCCTGTTATTGGTGTCTATGGATATGTGTGTCCCAGGGCCCCATTCATTTGATTTCCCCCCAGTATCAGCAGCGCCCAGTCAGGAGCCGCCGGTTGCCAGCGTGGCCCTCGAGCCACTGCTCGAAGGGACTCCGCCTGCACAGCTCGAGGCGCCGGAGGAGCTGCCCGCTGACGAGCACGCGGAGGGGCCTCCCGCCACCCTGCAACAGCAGATCGCCAGCGGCCGCTCCGCGGGGCTGGCGGCGGGGGCACAGCTGCAGCAGGATGTGCAGGGCCAGGGGGGCCAGATCGAGATGCTGGGCGGCCAGCCCAAGCCGAGCCTCAGGAATCGGAGAGGAAAAAACGGCGCACACATAGACTTTCGACGGTCCGCGCGGATTTCTTGGATCGGCGTTGGACTCCCCTCCCTGGCGCGCGGAGCGCGCCAGGGGCGGCGCCGGAGGCGCCGCCAAGGGGGCCCCAGCGCAATCCCAGAAGTCCGCGCGGGGCGCCAAAAGTTTATGCTGATGCCATTGCTTCCCAGGCCCCCGACGTCGCATTTTTTTCACACCGTCGACCCCGAGAGGTTTGGCCCACGCCCCCTTCCCCGTATAGGCTTTTCATCCTGAGTTGTTTTTTGACGGCCCCGAGGCCCAGTGAGGGTCCCGAGAGGCCGGAAATAGCAGAAACCCTTTTGTAGCGAATTGTCATTCGCGTAGAGGGGGTTTGGGGTCATTGCTTCCGGATGCAACTCCTGGGAAGTTCAATTTCTGATTTTGCCCTGGTCCGAAAAATCCGGCTTAATCCCGCTTATTACCCCTTAGCCCCGCTTAATCCGAGGCCCACTTCGGCGTAACAGCCCCCCAATGGGGCTCAATCTTTCTTCACCCTTCCGACGACGACCTCCCAGCAGTTGCTTCCTAAACTGCTTGTTTCGGGGGTGGACAGACCTCCTACCATAACACGTCGATGAGCGAATTGGCCGTTTGCGGTTCGCGAGAGGTTTACTGAAAAGGAGGTTTGTCCACCGCCGACTGCTCCTGAGGACCAGCGCAGGCCAGCATGCGCCGGCAGCTCGCGTGCTGCGTGCTGCGCCTGGTCGGGCAGATGTCCAGCAGGGCCTCCTGCGCGGGGCCTGCTGCCGCGGCCGCGGGCGCCCCGCCGCTGCGGCGGCGGAGGACGACGGCTGCGGCGGGGACCAGGCGGGCGAGGAGGGCGAGGCGGGGCAGGGCCAGACAATCCAGGTGGGCGACGCAAGCATTCGATGCAACTCCTGGGAGGTCGAATTCTGATTTTGCCCTGGTCAAAACTCTGGCATGATCCCGTTCAATCCGGCTGAATCCCGCTTAATCCAGTTGAATCCTCCTTAATCCGAGGCCCACTCCGGCGTAACAGCCCCCCAATGAGGCTCAATCCTGCGTAATCCTTCCGACGAAGACCTCCCTGTAGTTGCCTCCTAACACGAAAAGCGGGGTCGATTGTGCCGACATTGGCGCGTAGGCTGCCCGCGGAAGCTCCGGTAGCAAGCGCCCTCGTCTCCACTGTGGCGTGCCGCGCCAGCGGCCCGCGCAAGCCACCGCGTAAAAGGTCGCTACGCCATCTCGCGCAAGACCCGCTTTTGAGCGCCGCTCAGGTGGTGATCGTCGCCCGCGCGGTCGTCGAAGCAGAAAGAGGAACGGCACACGCACGCAATTGTCCGGCGCTCCGCGAGGATCTCTTGGATCGACGCTCGGCGGCGTCTCTGGCGCCGACCTTTGCGCCGGAGACGCGCCCGGGAGGGGGTCCCAGCGCAGATCCAACAACTCCGCGCGCGCCTCCAAATGTTTGTGTTTGTGTGCAGTTTGGAGTTCCTCCAGGTCAGCAGGGGCCACGGCGGTGAGAACGATGTGTTCGCTCTGCTGCTTCTGGGGGCACTGCTCTGCTCGACGCTGGTCCTCTTCTCCGCGGTCATGTCGCTCGGTGCCGCCAGGCGCGGGGGGCACCTGGCCGCAGACCTCCCGCTCCGGGCTGGCCCGCTCGCCTGGTACGCCGCGCAGGTGTTCCCGTTCGTGCTGCGCATGATGTCTGGCCCACGGCATGGAGCTGACGACGCCCCTGCAGGTGCCCGCACTCGTGCGGAATCGGAAAGCGTGAGGACCACTAGAGAGCTGTAAATGCCCGCGCTCGTACTGAATAGGGAAGCAAGAGGGCCGATCGAATGTTCATGATGCGCAGTAGACGCATGCATAACAACCCTGATTGCGACTGGCGGTGATGCTCAGCGCAGTGACTCCCGCAATCGCAGCTCCAATTCGGGACGCGCGCTCAGTAGGGGAGGAAGACCGGGAGAGCCGGGGAGAGAAGAAGGGAAAGCGGCGGCATCCAGGGTATTGGCATCGCTCGGACATGTGCGTTTTTCTCGGCGGGGACCACCGAGACGCATCCTGGCGCATCCTGCGAGGAAGCACACGCACGAAACCGAAACGGGTACGTGGAATGGACGTCCGAGCGACGGCAGGGGATGCGGAGGCCCCTTGCGCGTTGGCTCGGGGTGTCGAGTGCCTGCCCGGTCCTTGGAGAAGGCGGGTGAATCGCAGCGCGCGGCGCTCGTGCAGCTCTTTGCCCCCAGCGGCGGCGCGCCTGCCCTGCGGCCGTGCGTTCGAGCGCCGCGCGCCTCGGCATCGCTCGGACGTGTGAGTGTTTCTCCTTCTCGGCGAGGACCACCGAGGAGCATCCTGGGGTCCTCGAACCCAGCTGTATGCGGTTGTGAGCGCCGCCGTCGTGAGCGCGGTCCACCCGCACAGCGAGGATGGGCAGCCTTTCCAAGGATCCCCTTGCATCCTTGCCTCCTCGGTCCATCCTTGGCCATTTTCGTCGGCCGCGCCCCGCTCGAGAAGCTTCGACATGGGCGTCCAAGGCCTTGCATCCTTATCGCGCATCCTTATGATACGGGCCGACTGTACCGTCCTCGGTGGGTCTCCTGATGGGGCCACGAAGAGCGTGAAGGGTGTGCCGAATGTGGCGGTGCCATCATGCGGTCGCTGCCACTGGGGCCTTCGAGCCGAGGAAAATTTAATGGAGGAGGGGGGCCAACAATAGGGGCCACTGGTGCCTTCGGTGGAGCTCCCCATCGGGCCACGAAACGACGTGTGAGAGATGTGCCGAAATGGCGGGTGGAGCCGCATGCGGGCGTTGCCATTGGAGCCTTAAGTGGCATAGCCCTATGGCATAGCCCAATGGGGCCGCGGAACGTGTGAGGGGATCGCCGACATGGAAGGTGGAACTGCATGCGGGCGTTGTCACTGGAGACTTCGGGGGAGCTCCCTATTGGGGCACGAAACGTGTGAGGGGTTCGCCGAAATGGAGGGTAGAACCGCATGCGGGCGTTGCCATTGGGGCCTTCGGTGGAGCTCCTTATGAGCCCACGAACCGTGTGAGCGGGTGCACCGAAATAGCGGGTGGAGCCGCATGCGGGCATTGCCCTTGGGGTTTTCGGTGGAGTTCTTTCATGGGGCCACGAAGCGTGTGAGCGGTGTGCCGAAATCGAGGTGGAAATGCATGCGGGCGCTGCCACTGGGGCCTAAGGTGGAGCTCCCTATGCCCTATGGGGCTACGAAACGTGTGAGAGTTGTACCGGAATAGCGGGTAGCACCGCATGCGGGCGTTGCCATTGGGGCTTTCGATGGAGCCCCTTGTGGGGCCACGAAACGTGTAAGGGGTGCACCAAACTGGAGGTGGAACTGCATGCTGGCGCTGCCACTGGGGCCTAAGGTGGAGCTCCCTACGGGGCTACGAACCGTGTGAGCGGGTGCACCGAAATAGCGGGTGGAGCCGCATGCGGGCGCTGCCCCTGGGGCCTTAGGTAGAGCTTCCTCTTGGACCACGAAACGTGTGAGAGGTACACCGACATGGAAGGTGGAATTGCATGCGGGCGTTGCCCCTGGGGCCCTCGGTGGAGCTCCCAATGGGGCTACGAAACGTGTGAGGGTTGCACGGACATGGGGGTTGAACCGCATGCGGGCGCTGCCACTGGGGCCTTCGGTGGAGCTCCCTCTGGGGTCAGGAAACGTGTGAGGAGTGTGCCGACATGGTTGACTGGCGCGGAGGGCAGAGACAGGGATGCGAGGAGGGAGGAAGGGGGAGGAGGAGGAGAAGAGAGGAGAAGGAGAACGCGGGGCGCTGTCTCTTCAAAACGCGGACCCAACACCACAGGATGGCTGGAGAAACACGCACGAGACCGAAAAATGCACGGGGAACGTCCGAGCGATGGAGAGGTGCCCTCCCCCTCGTCCTCTTGATTGGGCCACCAACAGTTGAAAAACCTAACGAGGCAGAAATGTCGTCCTTTTTCTGTTTGGCTACGCCTGAGTGGTCCTCCTTTCTTGGCATTGTCCTCCCTTGCTTGCTGAGCGATGCTGTCTACCGGCTCATCCGAGAGTGCAGTTGCAGTAGGTTTGCACGATCTAGAGCTACAACTTTTTGCCAGAGCAGCATCTCGGTATTGCAATGGAGCCCGAGACAGCAGAGGCGTAGGGTCAACATGCAAAAGCGTGGTAACGTGTGCAGAAATGAGAAAAAGATAACCAGTTGGCGCTGGACTTCGCGAGTACCTGTGCTCGTCGACGCGCCGTTCGGTCTGGCATCGAGGACCGTTTAGATGCATTCGTGATGTAGAGAGTTGCGCTGCTACAGTGGTTCAAGCAGTGCCTGAACGACGCCAGCGTGAGCATGATATCCGCTGTCTGTTGCTTGCAGTGAATTCGTGCGCTGGGTATCAGTGGCCGCGATCGCGGCGACTGAGGCCGACCATGAGGCCAACAAAGTATGAGGGAGACAGGGGAGTGGACGGGCTGGGAATGAGGGGGGGAGCTGGCGGGGAGAAGGGAAGGCGGATGCGGAGGAGGCCGAGGATGAGGGCGGGTGATTAAACAGTACGTCATACCGAGATCTCTGGAGTGCGTACTGCTGCTGCTCTGCACCTCCCCGGCAGTTGATGCCGTCCGTCGCCTACCCTCTTCGAGGTCGAGGCTGGCGGCTGCCCTTCCAGCCGAGAGTTACAGTAGAAGGTGGAGCCGTCCTGCATGACCGTGGAGCCGCACAGGGAGCTGAGGCAGCAGGTGGAGGCGGAGATCCACGGTCAGAATCTCTCCTGCTCAGCGTGTCGCGCCGCCAGTCCTGGCCCACCACGCCTCGGCGCAACACGCTGCCCACCTCCGAGCGTCCACGTCCTGAGCCGTGCCCGGCCTCCCGCCCCGCCGAGCGGGGCTATACGGTATCCGTTTGCAGGGCATGGCGTGTCGGCGGGGCCACTGCCGCGACACGCCGAGCAAGAGTCCAGGCCGCAGGTGAAGGGTGGGGCCATGGTGGAGGGTGCGTCCACAAGGAAAGGTGTCGCTCCGTCCGTCTAGTTTCGCTGGTATCCTGTAGCGTCGCCCGCGTTCATAACCTCTAGGCCTCCAAGATGGCGTCAGAGTAAATGGGGTCGGCTATGTGGCGCGATGCGGAGCCCGAGTTTCTCCGCGCCCATGGCGCCGATGCATCGCATCGCTAATGTGTCAGCGATGCATCTGCGATGCGGCGCCACCCTCCGACCCAATTTACTCGGAGCCCACTCGGGAGGCCTCTATCAGGAACTACATGCCTGCATGCATGCACACCTGCAGCTACTCATGCAAAGTATGTGCAACCGCGCACCGCAGTGGCAGCGATGCTCGACACAATACGACACAAGTTCGGCTCAAGTTCGGCGGAGCGCCACGGGGGGAAGTGAGAGGCAGCAGGCCTTCTCAGAAGGGGCCAGGTCCTCTCAGAAGCCCCCGCGCATTCCGAGAAGTTTTCTGTCCCATCGGAGAGGAAGCTCAAGAAGCCCTCCGCAGAAGTCACCTGCGTCTTCGCAGGAGGCCCAGGACACTTCCCAGAAGGCCGGAGGCCTTCCGAGCCTTCTGAGAAGGCCTGCGCCCCCTTCTCCTCCTCCTCCCCCTCCTCCTCCTCCTCCTCCTCCTCCTCCCCTCCTCCTCTCCTCCTCCTCCTCCTCCTCCTCCTCCTCCTCCTCCTCCTCCTCCGCCTCCGCCTCCGCCTCCGCCTCCTCCTCCTCCTCCTCCTCCTCCTCCTCCTCCTCCTCCTCCTCCTCCCCCTCCTCCTGCGCCCCTCCTGCAGGTAGTCCTCGGATCCTATCTCGGGCCTCCGGCGGCCCTTCGGGACGCTCCGAGCCTCCCTGGGGAGCGCTCTCTCTCGCCGAGGCGCCGCCTCTGGAGAAAGAGCACCCCGAGGCCAGAACACCGCTCCGAGAGGCAACGAGCGAGCGCGCGTGAAGACCTCGAGACTCGAACCCCCCCCTGGCACCTTCGGGCTTCCCTGAAGTCGGGCGTGTCCCTCTACAGGAGGAGTCTTCAAAGGTAATCCAAAAATACTCTGGGGGCGATGTTTTGATTATTGTTGTGGCTGTTGTGTCTACATATGTCAGGAGGAAAAGAAACACACAGACACAATTAATCCTCGATTCCCCAGAAAATATGAGAAAATATGGGAAGTGGGGGGGAAGACAGAATCCCAGAAAATATGGGAAAATATGCGGAATCAGTTTATTTGTGTGTATTTATTTGTGTGTCCTGGGGCCCCTTCAAGATGTCTTGCCTGTGTTAAACTTCTCTCTCAAAATCCGCCCGTGGGGGGACATGCCCGACCCAAGACTTCCCCACCCTCGGCCTGCCGCCGAGAGGAGCAGCTCGCGAGGGCGCAGAGCCTGCAGAGAGCCCGCCCCCCCCCCCCCCCTCGCGGGCGCGAGGGGGGCACGGGTGAAGGGCGAGGGCAGGAGGGAAGGGGTGGGAAAGGGCGAGGGAGGGAAGGGCGAGGGCAGGGCGAGGGCGGGGCGAGGGCAGGGCGAGGGAGGAGCCCCTTCTCGCTCCCCCCTCCCAACCCCCCGAGGTTCGCCGCAACCGCGCGGGGCGGCGGCGGAGCGCCCGCTGCCGCCCCGCGCGGCTGGAGCGCCGCGGGCCCGCCGCATCGAGCCTGTCCTGGCGCCCTGGGGCACGAGGGGGAGAGCGAGGAGGGGAGCGCGAGGAGGAGCGCGAGGAGGAGGGCGAGGAGGGAGGGCGAAGGGAGGGCGAGGAGGAGGAGGAGGAGGAGGAGGAGGAGGGAGGGCGAGGGGGAGAGCGAGGAGGGGAGCACGAGGAGAAGGAGGACGAGGAGGGCAAGGAGGGAGAGCGAGGCGGAGGGCGAGGAGGGGAGGGACGAGGAGGGGAACCGTTTTTGCATCGAGCTGTGATCGCACTCGAGCCGGGCATCGTTGTCACCGCAGCGCGCGATTGCGGCCACCCGAGGGTGCAAAGAGGGCCGACCGCCGCGGGCCGAGCCCGCCTTGCCTGCGCATGGCTGGGCTGGCCGGCCAGGCGGCGGCCGGCACTACACTTCGGCGGGCGCTGCACGCGGCGCCCGCTTTCCTTCACGCCGATGGCGCCGACACATCGCCAGTGCATCGCCGATGCATCGCCGATGCGGCGCGATCCTCCAATACCATCTACTTGGACCTCATCTGGGAGGCCTGTAATACACTTCGGCGGGCGCTGCGCGCGGCGCCAGCGCCCCAGCGCCCGCCGCCCCTTGAAGAACAACAAGCTGCTTAAGCATGCTGTAAACTTCCGAGACTCCGAGCGGTTCTCTTGGAAGTCTGCGCGGACCTCCGAAAGGTTGTGTTTATGCAGTCTGTTGTGCCTCTATTCCCCTCCCCCTGCCCCGATCCACCTCCGTCAGGGGCAACGATACGGTGGGGGCGTTCGTTGAGGAGTGGGCCCAAGAAGCTGTAGACCCTGGGGGATTCCTTATCCAATGGGGGCGGCGGTGCTGTCCATGGCCGATCCACGATTGAAGTTCCACTGCCAGACCCTGCATTCCTTATCTAAGGGTTTCTTGTCCAATGCCCACACCGTAGGGAAGGACAGTCAGAGCCCCGAGTTATCAGGGCGGGGGGTGGTCAGGGAGAGCTCCTGCCTCGGGGCCTCCCGCTTTCGCGCCGGAGTTGGCCCGGATGGCACTCCACCCGAATTCTTCCCCTCCTCCTCCTCGTCCTCCTCCTCCTTCTCCCTATCATCACCCTCCTCCTCCTCCTCCTCCTCCTCCTCCTCCTCCTCCTCCTCCTCCTCCTCCTCCTCCTCCTCCTCCTCCTCCTCCTCCTCCTCCTCCTCCTCTCCTCCTCCTCCTCCTCCGCCTCCTCCTTCTCCTCCTCCTCCTCGTCATCCCCCTCCTCCTCCTTCCCCCCCTCATCCTTCTCCTCCTCCTCCTCCCTCTGCCCATTGCTCTGCCCTGGCTCCCTCGCCCGCCCGCCCGGTCCGCGCCGCTGCGGGCCGGGCCGCGCCAGCGCCGGGAGGCCAGGACCCGCAGCGTAGGCGGTGCGGCGCGGGGCGGCCGTCTTGGCGCGACGAGTGGCTTCTTCCAGGGCCGAGCGTGAGCAGCGACGGCACGCAGTGCTCAGAAGGAGCCCCGCCGGCACGGAGGCGCTACAGTGGAGACCCCTGCCAGGATCTGGACGCCCGAAATGGGTACCGAAAGAATGGGTACTATGCCCAACAGCAGTTCCTGTTCAATTTGAACAGGATCCGCTGTCCGCGCCGCCGCGGCCTGTGTCCATTCGAGACAGGAGGCCGCCCGCCCAACAGCGGCCGCTGTTGGTTTGGGACAACATTTGCTGTTGGGCATGGTACCCATTTTTTCGGTTCCCATGTCGGGCGTCCAAACAGGAAACACCTTGCTTAGGATGCCCTGGGTGTCTTGGGTTTCGGTGGTTTTGCTATGGGAAGCGCGACGCTCCAACGCCAAAAGTCCATGGACGTCCTGGGATCTCAGGGTTGGATTTCTTGTGGAAGGTTTCTTGTGGACCGGCCCCTACTGGAGTTGATGGAGGAGAGTTCGGGAATGTTCTGGGAAGAAGGACGGGTATGTCAGGCTCGTGGGGGCCAGGAGGTGGTCGCTCGCGGTACTGAAATTGGCACGCGTCGAGAGATCGTCGTGCCAGAGCCGGCTGCCGCGGCGACGCGATAGCGCAGCGGCAGTTTTTGAGCCGGCCGTTCGATAATGTTTGGAGGAAGCGCGGGAGGAGCGTCACGTCTTGCCCTCTGCCTCTACCATTTGCGTCGCAGTCTTTGCGACTGCCGCTCCTCCTCCTCCTCCTCCTCCTCCTCCTCCTCCTCCTCCCTCTGCCCATTGCTCTGCCCTGGCCTCCTCCTCCTCCTCCTCCTCCTCCTCCTCCTCCTCCTCCCTCTGCCCATTGCTCTGCCCTGGCTCCCTCGCCCGCCCGCCCGGTCCGCGCCGCTGCGGGCCGGGCCGCGCCAGCGCCGGGAGGCCAGGACCCGCAGCGTAGGCGGTGCGGCGCGGGGCGGCCGTCTTGGCGCGACGAGTGGCTTCTTCCAGGGCCGAGCGTGAGCAGCGACGGCACGCAGTGCTCAGAAGGAGCCCCGCCGGCACGGAGGCGCTACAGTGGAGACCCCTGCCAGGATCTGGACGCCCGAAATGGGTACCGAAAGAATGGGTACTATGCCCAACAGCAGTTCCTGTTCAATTTGAACAGGATCCGCTGTCCGCGCCGCCGCGGCCTGTGTCCATTCGAGACAGGAGGCCGCCCGCCCAACAGCGGCCGCTGTTGGTTTGGGACAACATTTGCTGTTGGGCATGGTACCCATTTTTTCGGTTCCCATGTCGGGCGTCCAAACAGGAAACACCTTGCTTAGGATGCCCTGGGTGTCTTGGGTTTCGGTGGTTTTGCTATGGGAAGCGCGACGCTCCAACGCCAAAAGTCCATGGACGTCCTGGGATCTCAGGGTTGGATTTCTTGTGGAAGGTTT